GTCTTTCAAGCAGGACACTGCAGCGTTTAAGAAGTAGAGGACCATCCTCCACTTGACTTTGAAGGAGGCCTACAGTTTCTTCATGTCTTGTAAAATGTCCCAAAAGCACGTCTGTCTCATTGTCCCCCAGAGTCCAGTTAGTTTCATCAATCTTTAGCTCCCTTGTCCGATCTTCTGTGGTTGCGTTTATTTTTCTCTGTGTGGTATGGGACACTGTTGAATCTGATAACGCCACATTATCCAAGATGTTGGCTTGTGGTTCGTCCGTCTCACTTCGTTGTGAAGCGGGAATTTCCAGAACTGAAATAACTCTGGCGTCTTCCAAGGAACTATCTGAAAAGATTGTATTTTGCAAAAAAACACTTAATTTAAACACTCACTGTTGACAATTATCATTCATTAATCAATGAGTATGCTAAATTAATTATTTACGAGCCAATAGAGAAAGTATGTATATACAAGAAGTGAATCATTCAGAGAAAAACGTGGACTCTGTAAAGCTGCATTCAATTGTTTGGTTTGTTGCATCTTGTTTGCTCACTTAGCATAAAAGCCAGGACTGACATCATCACCTTATAAAGCTCTCAGCCCATTTACAGATGTTTACAGAACAGAGCACTGTGTTCATTTATATGGAATGTTTGTATGAATGAATATGATTTTGTATCTTTGTTAGTTCGGGTTTGGTCTTTACGAGCTTCTGAGAGAAATACCACCTTTAGGCAAGGCAAGTGTCTATACATATTGAATTTCAGTTTTCCCAAAAGCACGAGGGTGAGGAGATCAAATTCAAAGGTCAACCAAACTAAAGCCATGTGTTATAAAAGGTGTCAGTAATAATAAAGGCTTGCCATTGTGATCCAGAAGGCTGAGGTCTTTGTGATACTGCAGCAGGGTTTGCAGCCCCTCGCACTGTGACACAGAATCCATACATTCCCCCAACACTGAGGACACATCGCCAAACGTGGAGGCAACCTGAAGAAAATGAAAAAGAAGCAATGATAAAAGCATGAACATATACAAAATGTTTTTGTCCCGTAACACTGCATGTCTATTCCTAATGTACCTGTTGGAAAGTTTGAAGAGGAAGAATCTGTTCCAGTCTGGACAGAAACGTCCACATCAAGGTTTGAAGTATGTCATCGTATGTGGGACCAAACTGTTCAGGGAAAACTTTCTGAAATAAATGACATTATTTTATCTATTTTTTTAAAAGTGGAAACTATATGAATACCACAATGACTGAGAAGCTAAAATATTTCAAGACACACAATGTAGTCTGATATCAATATAGAGAGACACAGAGTTTACAATCATTCAGTATACATTACAGAGAACACTAAATACACTACTATAATTCTATTATTCAAACAGAGGTCATCCAACAAACACTGACCAGATAGAAGTGTTCTCTTTCATCAGCATTCTTCAGCAAGCTCTTAATTAGATCCACAAATGTTGCGTGTGGCTCCACCGTATTGGCTGCACCAGCCTGCAAAACACAACATTAGCAGTTTTACATTGCCGACTCTAGTGTATGGTTAAGGTCAAACAGAATGATCAGATTTTTTACAAAGTAATCCAAAGTCGCAACACTTCAAACTCACATCCATTGGCCATGCCTCCATGAGCATCTGCACTCTGTCCAGGTGCGGCTGAACCAGCTCTAAGTCAGCAGTGGCTTCATAGTGACATAACCCCAAGACGAGCTGAAACCACATCAGTGTTTCAGAACAGTGGAACAACATACTTCCTCTACAGTTGGCCAAATCTTTTAATGCATTTCTTTGTGCATAACTATTCTTATTAAAAAGAGAAACCCAGTTTCACCTGCGCTCTGAGGCCCAGCAGGAGTTGGGTTCTTTGGTGGGTGCTGAGTAGCTCCGGAATAATGTCTGTAACCATGGAAACAAACTCTTCGAGCATCCCATAATCCGCCACAGTTTTGTGCTGTAGTGTTTGCCAGATGGCCGCTGACAGCAGCCTGACTGGTGGGACGAGGAGTCGCAGGGTGGAGAGTGGCAGCGGGGGGGCTGGAGGGAACATCACATGCTGAGGTCATTACTAAAGAACTGAGAGAACTTCCAAACTCAGGTTCAGCTAAAGCATCAGCTAAATAAACAGAACTTCATGAAACCGACATTTCTGGGATCTGTTGCAGAAGTGAGGAACCTCCATTCAAATCACATTGGCATGGATTACTTAAATATAATATTAGAAGTAAATGTTAAAAGATAGAAAGAGAGATACGCAGGCCCTTCCTCCCTGCAGCAGTCAGACATCACGGCCCCCTGTAGACCCCCGCACATTTAACAACAAAGATAAAAACACCTCTGTGGTGCAATATCACTTCATTATTATTATTACTGGCTCTATCTCTTGGTTAGACTATTCAACTACTTCTGTAAATAACTATGCAATATGTAATTCCACTTTTCCTACTGTTACCTGGCTACAACCATACTTAGGCTACTACATGCTAACCGTATAACAAAAATAATACTGTTGCTGTACTTATTGTTGTCCACCTGGATGTGCAAATTGTAATTTCTGTAATTTCTGTTATTATCTTTAATATGTTATGCATGCTTCTTAATTAAGATGTTTGTTGTTTTGGGAAATCTGGCTGTTAATAAAACGGTACAGTGAAGCCAGGTTTAAGCCAGCGTTAGTTGAACTGTAGTGTTTACCAAGGAAGTAACGTTACTTAAATAGTTACTCACAGCCCTCTGAGACAGGACCCTCCATCCGGGTCACACAGAGCTGAGAAACAGCTGATCGGAGTCTTCTTCTTTCTCTCCTTCTTCTCCTTCTTCTCCTTCTCCTTCTCCTTCTTCTCCTTCTCCTTCTTCTCCTTCTCCTCCTTCTCCTTCTCCTTCTTCTTCTTCTTCTTCTTCTTCTTCTTCTTCTTCTTCTTCTTCTTCTTCTTCTTCTTCTTCTTCTTCTTCGAGGTTTACGAATAGCGCAATACCGCCACCTTCTGGACTGGAGTTTGGATCAGTCGGTTGGCAGATTAAGAAAAAACAGTAAATTGTCTCTAGAATTCTGGTTGTTCTTAAGAACTTTTTTGACCTAATTTCTTCTCGTATCTTTCCTTGAATGAGTGTTGAAAACATCGCCCTTTTTCATTATGCCCCATAATCAGCAAATAATGGTCATGAGATATCAGACATCATTTATCATAATGAAAAGGAGTGTGGGGCTGATCCCCCTGAATTCCATTATCCTCCTCATACCTAGACCATATTGCTGTTCCCATCTTAACTTGAAAATATCTATCAAATAAAAGGTGCAATGCTGTCTCTACATCAGCCAACACTGCCATAACTGAATCTATTTCCAAACAAATGAGTGAATTACATATTATATTGTAACAATGACTTCATAGGCAGCACGCTCACAGACCAAAGGAACTGGTTGACACTTTTAGCAGGGCAGCCCTTTGGTACTGCATGTGATACCCTTAACCTGAGATGCATGCAATATAATCCTATACATCGTTTTTCTCTTGGTAAAAGGCTCTGAATACTGACAGACGTGTGTAGGAAAAGAAATCTAAGTTTTAGATAACAGTGTAGCGGTGGTAGAACAAATGACTTCCTAATTCCACTCTGGAGGAGAACTGCGGTGTCATCACACACTATGTGTTTTAGATCTCTGACTTTAAATCTGTGTTTCATAATCTGTATAAAACACAGATTATGAAACACAGATTTAAAGTACATTGTGCAGAAAATGGTTTGCCTTACGTTTTTTAACTTCAAAATGTTAATTACTGACTTTCATTTTGAAAACCTGAGCAAAGGAATCAATAATCTAAGACATGAGAAAACCCAACTCATTATGAAACAATGTAATGTATCATTCTTATTTTAATAACAGTGTACAGGAGTGAACATTTTCCCAATTCATCTTTATATCTCACATTTGCCCTGGCTCTTAAGCAAGCAGATTTATAAACAGCTACAGATTAAGCAGTAAAATGTTGTTACTAAAATATTAAAATGATATCCATTCAATCTGTTTTTGATTCAAATTAATAATGAAATAAAATGTTCTAATGATTATTTCTGGAATATGTTCTACACATTATAATTATTTATTTCGTCATGCCGTACGGAGATAAAAGAAACAATAGTGACAAATACAGTACATGTTGCATGATCTGCAAATAAAGAGAAAGAGAATTACAAATATCAGTCACAACTGAATTGGTTTGCAGGGTTAGAGAAAGGACTTTGTAAGTGTAGCTTTGCACGGTACCAATGACTTCAGACTGGAACCACAGCAGATTCTTTTATATCTTATTTGGCTACTAAGGAAAGTAGCTCAAACTACTTTGTTAAATGTCAACCAAAAATGCCACTGCTCATGAAGTCAGCTTTGGTTTTGTACACCAGTGTGTGGTAGTGGCAGGGGATTGGACTACAGAATGAAAGCCATGGCCAAATCAAAGTTTGAACGTATTTCATTAGGAAAGAGATATAAAAACTGTTGTAATCAGAACACAGCCTTGCTTTATTAGCTTGTTTATAGATTACACATTTAGCACCGTCCTACACTCATACATAATCCAGATTCACTGTTTTAATAATGGTGCATGTCAGGATGCATCTGAACACTGACAAATTGGAAAACAAAGGTGTCGTGCTGTTTTAAGATGAGAAGGAGCGGGGTTGGGAAGAAGCTCTCTGAGCTCTGCTACAGGATAGATGAGCCGCTGCTAGCATAACCCTAACCTGAACCTGGGAGCTTTAGCAGCAGTGTGTGTGTAATGCAGCAGTGTGTGTGTAATACAGCAGTGTGTGTGTAATGCAGCAGTGTGTGTGTAATGCAGACATCAGGTTTGACAAGAATGTGTGTGCTGAAAGAAAGGGCTATCTCTGGTTCTTTTGCATCAATTGAAATATGTTGTGTTAACTCTACATGGAGAGTCCAGAGAGGTTTAGGGCTGCAATAGTAAATGAGTGGGAACATATTTGTAACGATAGACTGAGACAAATGTTTCCCATCAATTCTTTATTTGTGGTGGCAAGATCATGCAGAAGCTCTGGTTAGAAATGAAAAGCAAACTTGGAATGATGCATATCAAATCAAATAGAAGCAGATAAATCTTGAGAACCTTTTCAGATTCAGTGTAACAGTGATGGTGTGCTCTGTTCAAATGAAGCACAGCTACAGACTGTTCATATTAAACCAAGAAAGAAATCATAAATATATCTGCTCCCGAGAGGACAATTAAAGACTTTCAATCCAGTTGTGAGTTCACATTCAGCACATAACCAGTGAACTCACTTAAAGGAGCCCATGTGGTATACTTACAGGTGATACATACTGCGCCTGCTGGGTAGTAAAAGGACCTTTTTAATGAAGAAAGACATTTACAGTGATAGAAGTTCATTGGTGTCTTTTCAACCCTTTACTTTGTTTTACACAGAAACCACGTATATCAGTCCATTTTTAGGGCCCTGCCAAAAGATCCTTCTTTTGGAAAGGAAAATGTTAAATGATGGTATCTGCGTGTAAATGTATTTTCTACCAAGGGACACTAAAACGGATATTCTTTATACATGGGAATGCATAGTGACCAAAAACAGAAGAGCTAAACATGAGTCATTTGACCAGCAAAGTTATGAGGATTCTACAAATCCTCCTCAAACTGATTCAGGAAAAACAATGCACATTTATTTTGATTGCAAATACTATGACAAACGCTTGAGTCAGTAATATCCCACCACAAAAAGTCTGCTTCAATATCATACAATGCCAAATTATAGGCAATTATACATCTTCAGTAATGTGTCAAATCTTCAAAGAACACATTTTTCTGTAGAAAACTTCTCAAGTTTTTTTTCGTTCTTTATACAGAGTAATAAAAAAAGTTAAGGCAAGGTGCGTCAAACAGAAATCCGAAGGCCATGGACCAGCCTCTGCAGGAGTTCTGATCCACTGACTCTGGAGAGGGAGAAGGTGCAGCCAGCAGCCCATCCGCTCTCTGTCTCAGGCATCTTACACTGGCAGGAGGGGAAGAGGAGGAAGCGGTGGTGGTGGGGGTGGGGTGGGGGTGGGGTGGGGTGGGGTGGGGGGTGGTCCACTACCACCCGTCCTCCCCTCATATCCTCCCCTCTGTCCGTCTGCCTAAACACTCCTCTTTGGCACCTAAGCTGGCAGACTCAGCTTCTTCCCTTTCAGCACTGAAACAAGAGCATTCAACACAGTGTTATTGCAGCTTCAGGACGAAGGATCTTTGTATAAGCTCTGCCCAGACTCATCCCCCGCAGCAGCGTTGAGCTGAGGAAGGACTTTAACCTTCTTTCTCTAGCTTTCTATCTTCATGGAACAATTGAGCACGCCAAAATGTAATAATCATCTCCTCTCCCCCGGCCGTTCAGATCAGGTTTAACTTTTAAATTCAGACACGTTAGCTTCTATAACCTGATCTGAACCGCGACATTGTTTCTGAGACGTGGTGCTACTGTGAAATACATTGAATTACATTTATCAATGCCATTTAGTTCTACACTCATTACATGAATGAAAACGTTATCATGCCTACTGGATAGTCTAGGGGTGTATATAGATTTCAAGATGATGACATTTGACTTGACAGTGGTCACTCTTCAATTTGCTGAATAGCCCCACAGTAAAAAGTGCTTTGAGTTAGGGCTGTGCAATTAATCGTATTTTAATCTCGATTACGATTTTGGCTTGCAACGATTACGAAAACAACGTAATCGAAATAAAACGATTATTATTTTTATAAAAAAAAAAAAATGTAAATTTTTTTTTTTTTTTTTCTTGCTTTTTCAGTTGAATTATAATTAAAGTTCAGGGTAATCAACTGTTAAAAACATACTGTTCACATTTTTGTTTCAATAAATGGATGTTTTCAAAGTAAATGGATAATCGTTTTTAATAATCGTGATATCAATTATTTACCAAAATAATCGTGATTAGGATTTTTGCCATAATCGCACAGCCCTACTTTGAGTTGATTCACAGTTAAGTAACCACTGATTCTAAAGCAGAAGCAAAAGAAAAAAACTCTGTCCCAGTTTTATCAAAATAAGACAAAATAAGACAAAATGCAGCAGCACTCACCTTTTGTTACATAAAGATAGAAGAAGTCGCAGTAGAGGATGGTTTGCACCACCCCGGCAACAATGGCGATCATGTCGAAAAAACCCTCAAAGTAGAACCTCCATATCCAGTTTATGAGGTACAGCGCTCTGTACAGGCCCAGGAAGAACAGGTAGTGGGTGGTGATGGTCTCTGCCTCCCCCGTCTTGCTGATCATGAAAAGCTGAGGCAGGATGGCCACCGACTCCAGGTAGATGGAGAATGTCCAGAGAATCTGAGCCAGACAGAGACAGTGTTTGTGGGAAATAATGGTGCACAGATGTCCGAGGTAAACCAGCACTGATAGGTATTCACTGACTTCAAATACATGTGCATACTTTTCCTGTAGGTTCCAAGAATCCTGCTGGGGCCCTAGCAAAAATAACTATAGTAGTAAATTAAGTTCAACTACACAAAGCTTTAGGCTTAGGTACGCTACTGGACTGCAAATGTGTGCTTCGTATTTTAATTTGAACATGCAAATCTCAGTGCAAAAAACCTTGAGCAACAGCGAGCCATTGTGTTGCCATTGTGTTACATTAGCAGTACAGTGTTGTGTCTCTTAACACTTGAAGCTAATATAAATGGTTTACTGGCTGTTAGGGGCTGTGTGCAAGAGGGTAACCAAACTGTGTGTAGGCCTACATATGTTCTCTTCATTCTAGAGTTCATGTTCTTTCTTTCTGACAAACCTGCACTGTGTGTTAAAATACACCAACATATGTGTGTGTGCTTAACATGTCATGTTTATACTATCTTTCCTATGCCCTTGAGTGAGTGAGTGAGTGAGTGAGTGAGTGAGTGAGAAAGCAAAGACAGAGCAATGTATGTTCACAGACATGAGAGAGCCAAATGTGTGTTTGACTGAGACCCAGAGATGACCTGTTGCAGAATAAATGACATTCAAAAACAGAAGCAGCTCTGCTGTATGGGGGGGGGGGGGGGGGTATCTTACCTCTAGAGGAGAGAAGTCATGATTCACTAGGAAAGCCAGGCCACCAACAGGGACTACCAGGAACTCCACTCTGAATGTGTCATGGTTCCCATCATAGGTCGCCTTGAACTTCATGTAAATCAGGTACACAGTGGCGTACGCACAGCCAATGTAGATGACCTGAAAGACAGACAGAAGCATGAGAGGAAAGTATCCACTTGTTCCAGTGTGTACTGACCCGTCATACAATCAAGTAGTAACACGACATGTGTTCCTTTAGCAAACACAGGTGTGGTGTAAGGCCTGAACACTGTATTTAGTTGAACAGGATATAAGAGTGAGAGCGGGGTGTCTCACCTTCATGGTGGTGTTGTAGAGAGAGATGAAGGAGGTGAGGAGGTCCAGGTAGCGGCTGGTGAACACCAGGGCAAACAGAACCTGACTCTTCCCAGAAATACCTGAGGAGACAGCAGAGGGCATTCAAAACATTCTGACGTCCCAGAATCCTTAACATGTGACTGATTTCTGTTTGAAGGAAGCAGATGTAGCTCACCCCGGTAAATGCACACAGTAAGGTTAGTGGAGTGCTTAAACTTCAAGGAATAACACATCATTAGCAACATCTTCATTCAAACACTATTGTGTTTGATCAGGTTCCCAAAGTGAACCAGCAACATGTGACTGGGAAACACAGCTTTTCATTTGTTCAGAATACAACGTCCCCTTCCTGCAGCCAGCCTCATACAGACAGTACATATTAAATATCAAAGACTAAGATAACAAAATCTTAAAAAATAAAACTTAACATTTGCTTGGAAAAAGTGAGTTTATTATTCTGGTTCTCTGGCATGTAATGGTAGTTATTTTAGTTCAGGAGCATGTTATATTAAGAAGTTACACTGTCACTCTTTAATAAGCAGTTAGTACCTACAGCCTCTGCTTCCCAGGTCCCTGTCAGACTGGGGGGGGCATCAGAGATCGCTACATTATAGGTAGCTAAATATAGTTGTTATACACTATTCACACCGCTGGTTTCATCCAGTGTGTTTCTGGTCCAACATGAAACACATATTAACTGCACAACATTATATTGCACTAGTTTATTTCTACTCTGTTTGTTCTTATTTTATTGTCTTATGTCTTATATATTTATGTTGTATGGTTGGAGGAGCCTAGGACTTGAGATTGCCATTGCTATAACTAAACTGTAGTCACTGTTCATATGACCATAAAGCCCTTGACTCTGTAATATCTCCTCTCAGGCTCCCCTGTAATGACATAACTCAGGTGACTGTCTGTATCACTGATGCAGCCTCACCTTTGGTCTTTGGAAGAACACAGCCAAGTTTCCTCCTGATAACAACCTGTAGCACGATCTTTCCCCCTGCTCGTGTCCCCTGCCTGTGTCCCCCTCTGACGCTGCAGCTGTCAGCCTGGTGCTGGGTGCTGCCACACTGAGCGGACACACTGAGCGGACACACCGGCCGGCAGTGACCGGGGCCGGGGTGAGACATCAAGCTAGCAAAGTTTGGTCCAACTGAAAGGCCAAACTAAGACCCGCTGCATGTGGCCCTCTGGTCCCCTGTCCCTCCCTCCCTCAGGTTGTTGGGGCCCGCTGCGGGTCCAGGCTAGCTACACATCTGATGCTAGCTACACATCTGATGCTAGCTGGACGCCACAGCTGCTTTTTCTTGACTTTAGCTTTTATTACGACTCCCTTACAACCAGTCGAGTTAATGTCTCTCTGTTGGCTGACGTCAGGGTGAGCTGCCAGCTGGCTAACGTTGGTTAGCTTAGGACTGGCTGTGGCTCCTAACAACATCACAGGACAAGCTACACAGCCCTCACAACTGTGGCTGCACACACACTACAGACACACCGGACACACTGTGAGCGAGGGTACATGACGACTTACCGGCACAAGACCTGGTTTTCCATATTTTTAGCAGCAGGATGATGATGGCTGCTAGGTGGGAGAGATCGCCGGTTAGCCTGAAAACGTTCATGTTTATGGCAGCTCCAGCAGAGGAAAACCGATTGAAAACTCTTTAAATAGTTCAGTTAGTCTCCGGTCACGATTAATTTAGGAGCTGACAGCGTTGAATGACACCGTGACAGCAGAATAAACAGATTCTGGCTTCAGAAGATGGGAAAATGGCGAGCAATGTGCGACGTGGCCTGGGGAGGTGTCCGATACAACAGCAGCCAATCCGAGACGAGAAACGTTCGTGCGTTTAGCCAATCAGAAGAACAGGATGAATCATTTGCATACATTAGCTGCATGCCAAGTCGCTTAACTTGCATCCCTGCGTCCATCACTTGTGTATTTTCCTTGCGTCTGTAGGGTGGATCTCAAGTTAGGCTACTTATTTTTCTTTTCCTCGCTTCTCGGTCCTCAGTATCACCGGAAGTTGATCTTTCTGCGCCATCTTGAGCATGGATGTATAATAAGAACTGGGTTGCGGTCGAATAGTCCGTTTTGCTTAGGAACCTTCCTAACAGAGTGAAATGACCCGGAAGTACCTCAGTGGCAGCCATGATAAGTGCCGTTCGAATTCTCTAGGGCTGCGTTTCACTTCGGTTAAATGGATTCCTTGCGTCCCTCACTTGCGTCGTTTCCCTGCGACTAGTCCCTCCCACCAGGGAAGCATGGAGAGACGCAAGGAAACCACGAGAAGCAGGGAAATGAGTTTTAAGAGCAATGGGACGTCCTTTCCTCCGGAGCGTCACGTGAAGCGACGTCCGTTTGTGATGACGCTGCACAGCTGTTCGTCTGACAGCAGGGTTGCGGTCGAATAGTCCAAAAATCAGCTCCTAAGTTCTAACCCTATCGTCTATTCCTTGACCTCTGAGTGAAACGTCACGGGGTTAAGGGATAGTGGATAGGAGAATTCAAAAGGATTTAGGGGAAGAGACTGCGGTACTTTAGAGAATCCGACTGCACTTTCACTATCCAACGTGTTTATGATGCGCCAGCGGATGTCATAAATGTGCGTCTGCTGCTGTGGGGAAACTATGGAAACTACAGTTTTCTATACAGTGGACTACAACATGGATGTTTAATAAGAACGAGGGACTACTGTAAACTCATCTCGAGACTCTGCACCGTGCTCTGATGCTGTTGTTTTATGCTTTATGAACAGAGAAACATATTCTTCATGACCAAAGTTGGAATTGAAATAAAAAGGAAAGTGAAACTTATGCTCGTCACCCTCTCCCTCCGGTCCACATTAATACAAATGATCCCAATACGTATGATTGTATGAAAAGATCTTAAAATCAATACAAATGTATTTATTATAAACGTTAGTCCTTAACATCTATCACTGTGTATATCACCATTCAAACATCTTTTAAAAGTTGAACAAACCCCACAGCTCAGTAAAGACTGTGAAATGTTGACTTTATTTGATCATTTCAGTAAAAACTAACGTTCATATTTCTCTTTTTGATTATAATACGGATGAACGTTCAAAACAAAGCACTTTGGCAACTTACCACATACGTTTTAAAATGCTTAATAAGCACCGTAACTTTCATGATATCATTTGTCGTTCATAATCGGTTGTTTCCGTGAACGGCCGAATGTTGTGTGACGGCAAATGCCGCGGCCGCAAGGCATTGTGGGGCAGCATTTTCTCCTCTCCTTTCGGCTAGGGAGGTCCAGTGGTTCCTAAACTAAAGGAGGTTATAAAGGAAGTTTGAAACCTCCTTTCCTTTCATCTAGAGAATTCGAACGGCATTTATCATGGCTGCCACTGAGGGACTTCCGGGTCATTTCACTCCGTTAGGAAGGTTCCTAAGCTAAATGGACTATTCGACCGCAACCCAGCTCTGTCCCCGTTATTTTCAATATGGTCTAGCTGCGGCCACGGACAGTACACGACACTACACGACACGCCCACTACACGACACGCCCACCTGACACGACACTACGGTGGCTGAGAGACATTACCGTACATGGCAGATTAAAAGCGAATTGACGACACTTATTATTATTGAGATCGTACATGGCAGATTAAAAACGAATTGCAAATGTTATTGTAGCATTTTAAGCAACTATTAGGCAAATAAATTAATAACCTAGTCTATCCGTTTGAGACACAACAGTATAACTTTCAACCCAAATCATTTTGTCAACAAACGGTGGTTTAGTCAACTTTTTTTTAATATATAAAATAGGTATTAATGAGATGATCTATTGATTATGTTTGTCTAACTGCTACACATGTATTTTATACATAAATGTAGATATTTGTGAACATCTAAATATAGTTGTTAAAGGTTTTAAGATATACATTATCACATCATGGGGTCATTAAGGAACAAATTAGGAGGGCCAGTCAGGCCACTAATGAGCTCAATCATTCACATGTATTATTATTACTTTATAAATTAAAAGTACTAGGGGTCTATTACAAAACCTTTGAAGGAATCGCATAAATTAAAATAAATGTATGGCAAGTATGATCAAATTAACATAATGTCAAGATATAGCCAATAGACAATCAACATGCTTTGAATATAAAGGAAGAAGAACAATAAACAGATGAACATTTAGGTTTTATGTGTAAATTGTGAACAAACCATCTTAATACATCTGGCAGTCTAAGACAGCAAACTAAGCTTCTTTAACTGCTGCTAGAACACTGTTTTACCATGGGGTATTTCTAACAAGACCAAAAAGATATACAAGGCTTCCAAAACAGAAGAAACCAACTCAATACAGTATTTTAATTTCCTTCAAAACGACAAAAGCACTAATAAAAACCAAATAACAATAACATAAAGGAAAAGTAATTGAAGTGGTTGCCTGTTGTAAATACCTTGGTATCTGGCTTGATGATTGTCTCTTCTCTAATAAGTCAAAGATATGTTTACTGTATATTATAAAAATGCTTGTCATGTAGGCATACTGGAGATGGGAAGGCTTTAGTCAGTGTTGTAGCTGAGATTCTTACCGTTCCAATGATGTATTAATAATAACTTGGATTTATATAGCGCCTTTCATGAGACCCAAGGTCGCTTTAAAAAGAACAGGAGTAGAAACAAACATAACAAAAGGCAGTTAGACGAACAGTTAGACAGACAACACAAATAGATTTGGGGCCAAAGACCTTGGCAGACTTGAGGGCCCTTTTGAAGGCGTCAAGCGTGGGGATGTTGCAAATCTCCGCAGGGAGAGCGTTCCAGAGAGTGGGGGCTGCCATACTGAAGGCTCTGTCCCCGAAGGATCGCAGGTTGGTGCGGGGGGCCAGAGTCTGAAGACCGCAGGTTCCGGGGTAGGGCATGTGGGAATTGTATTGATTTGATACAAGCAAGCCAGTGTTTCATTGTGTACTTTCAACTACAGTATATGGTCCGGCAAGTTCAGCATGCACTGCATTCACTGTGGTGAATATACAATAAGACACTGATACCGTTTTCCTCAATGAACATTTATTGAACAGAACATCATGTGAAAAATGTTCCTTTTTAGTTGTAGGCTACAAAAACAACATGTTGTGGTTTTGCGCTTTGACATCAAAATGTTGGGGGCTGTGGAAATATTGTGCCATGTTGCTGCAGCAGCCGGAGCCATCACTGGAGCGGCCGTCGGAGCCATCACTGGAGCGGCCGTCTGGGCCATCACTGGAGCGGCCGTCGGGGCCATCACTGGAGCGGCCGTCGGGGCCATCACTGGAGCGGTCGTCGGGGCCATCACTGGAGCGGTCGTCGGGGCCATCACTGGAGCGGTCGTCGGGGCCATCACTGGAGCGGCCGTCGGGGCCATCACTGGAGCGGCCGTCGGGGCCATCACTGGAGCGGCCGTCGGGGCCATCACTGGAGGAGTCGTTGTGGTTGCTGGGGCCGCCGCCAACGTAGTTGGATGTTCAGTGCAGCAGTTTTTAAAGTGACTAATAAACATCTCCTTTCTCCCAATGATTCTTGGGCCACAGTGATAATGGCTGCTGGCCACACATTTGAGATGGCATTTATAAACATTATAACCTAAAAAGAGACAGAAAGTGGTTTAGAGGATTCTAGAAACAAACCAACATGAATTTCTTGTAAATATGCAATTTGAAACAAGGTGTTTGTGCGAGAGCAATAAATAATCATGTCACCAACAATAATATTTTTGCCTATAAACTGATTTTTTGCAGATTGAATGTGTGATTATGCTCATATTGTGCCTACCCCAAATAAGGATATTTTTCCAGCATTATTAACACTTCATAACCTGAATATAAATCTAATTTTTAATGTTCAATTTATAATTCAAAATTAATTTACACCAAGGATGTCCTGGGGCACAGAAATAACACATGTATCCATAATGTGTGAGGCATTAAACACATCTAACAAGTAACATGTAATGTAATGTGATGAAGTATACAATGATCATATAGAATTATAGATGTACTTACCTCCATATTTCACAAGTGCCCTCTGGTGGCTCTGCAAATGAGCCATCAGACCAGGGTATGACCCGGTCCTTTCACAAAATGGACACTGGAAGGTGTCCGAGTCCAATTTGTTGAGCTCTGGGCGTGCTCCATCACGGAGTGTTGTGTTGTTTGTCTATAGGTGAATAAAATAGAATACAATTTCAGTGACTTTAATATTGGAAATAGTTAACTCCTTAAACAAGCAGCAATGGACTGGCCTGTATAATCCTATGGGACAAAGCTGGTCATACTTCCTCACTTTCAGAAGGTAACCCTTTAACTGCCAGCGCCACCATTTGGTAGAGCACATTTTGTGTCTTGATATCTTGTTGAAAAAAAAAAAAGTTTAACTCCATCTGATTCAGCCAGCTCTACCTTTTTGGTTGACATGTTATGCACAAAACAACCTCTAGATGTCACTGTGGTTCGAACAGAAAGCCCTTCAGCTAGTTTAAATCTTTATATATACAGTACGGTCTATGGTTTAAATGTCAGGCCTACAGCATGGTCACAAACCCCATCTAAAAACAGAGGCCTGATTGCATCCACCTGGGTTACTTGGCTCTACCCAATAACTATATATCATTTAACTTTAAACCACACTTAAAATAACAATATAATTATACATATGTCAGTATAGCAGCTAATACATGTTTTTTTTTTTAAAACATTCAAATGTGAAAGACACCTTCAATGAATATTTAAAATCAGATTCTTGTAAAAATGCGAGTACATGCATTGTTCCATCTGTCAAGCTAAAATATATACATATATCTTAGCTCTTAGCTTGACATGCTAACTGAACGAGCATGTTCAGTTAGCATATATGCTAACTGAACGTCGAGCATGTCAAGCTAAGAGCTAAGATATATATATATTTATATGTATTCCATTCCTTTACATTTAATATTTAAAATACAAATTAGCTAAATAAACACAATTACACTGCGCTAAACAGCCACATCGACAAACAAACGAGAACCTAAATAGTATGTAATTATATCTAAAACCACAATACGTTAATTACCTGTACTCG